TTCACGAACAAAATTCTAAATTTTAAAGTAGTGTACTTTATTGGTCCTTTACTCTGTGATTAGTAGTTTGGGGTTCTCATTTAAATAATATCTGCCTACTCCAGGAACATAAAAATATTATTCTATCTTCTAGAAATTTATTTACTCAAAAGGGGCTAGACTGGGCTGAATTGGTAAGTAGTTTAAACAAAATAAATGATTTCGACTCATTAGATTATGATAACCATACTAACCAAATGACCCCCACCTATATAAACATCATACTAGCATTTACTATCTCTCTTCTAGGCATACTAACCTACCACTCACACTTAGTAGCTTCTCTCCTCTGCCTAGAAGGAATAATAATATCACTCTTTATCATAGCCACTCTTATTGCCTCAAACACACACTTCCCCCTAATCAACATTATACCCATCATCTTGTTAGTATTTGCCGCCTGTGAAACAGCAGTAGGTCTTGCTTTACTAATCTCAATCTCCAATACATACGGACTAGATTACGTTCACAACCTAAACCTGCTTCAATGCTAAAAATAATTATTCCCACAACCATACTACTACCCATAACATGACTCTCTAAAAATAATACAATTTGAATCAACTTAACTATACATAGCTTAACTATCAGCCTCATTCCCTTACTATTCTTCAACCAAACCAACACCAACCTCCTCAATCACTCAACCTACCTATCCTCTGACCCACTAACAACACCCCTCCTAACACTAACTATCTGACTTCTACCCCTCATGATTATAGCGAGCCAGTATCACCTATGCAATGAACCCCCCTCACAAAAGAAACTTTTCCTCTTCATAACAATTCTCCTACAAATCACCTTAATTCTGACATTCATGGCCACAGAACTAATTATATTCTACATTCTATTTGAAACCACCCTTATCCCCACCCTAATTATCATTACTAAATGAGGTAGCCAAGCAAAACGCCTTAACGCAAGTACATACTTTCTATTCTACACACTAACCGGCTCTCTACCCCTACTCATCATACTAAGCCACACCTACAACAACACAGGCTCACTAAACATCACACTACTAACACTCACAGACCAAAACTAACAACCACCTGGTCCCACAGCTTTACCTGACTAGCATGCATAATAGCCTTTATGACAAAAATACCCCTCTATGGCTTACACCTATGACTCCCTAAGGCCCATGTTGAAGCCCCCATTGCAGGGTCAATAGTCCTTGCCGCAGTACTCCTAAAATTAGGCGGCTATGGCATAATACGGCTTACTCCCATTCTCAACCCCCTAACGGAATACATAGCCTACCCATTCCTCATATTATCCTTATGGGGCATAATCATAACAAGCCTAACATGCCTCCGACAAACAGATCTAAAATCACTTATCGCGTACTCTTCTGTAAGCCACATAGCCCTTGTAATTGTAGCCTCTCTCATCCAAACCCCCTGAAGCTTCTCCGGCGCAACCACCCTTATAATCGCCCACGGGCTCACCTCTTCCATGTATTTCTGCTTGGCCAATTCAAACTATGAGCGCACTCATAACCGTACCATACTACTATCCCGAGGACTTCAAATTCTACTTCCATTAACAGCCTTCTGATGGCTCACAGCAAGCCTTACTAACCTTGCCCTACCCCCCACTATTAATCTACTAGGCGAACTCTTTGTAATCACAACTTCATTTTCCTGATCCCATATCACCATTGTGTTAACGGGCCTTAATATACTGATCACAGCCCTCTACTCTCTCCACATGTTCATTACAATACAACGAGGAACACTCACACACCACATAATCAATATAAAACCCCCCTTCACACGAGAAAACATATTAATATTCATACACCTCGCTCCAATTATCCTTCTATCTCTCAACCCCAACATCATCCTGGGGTTTACTTCCTGTAAATATAGTTTAACTAAAACATTAGATTGTGAGTCTAACTATAGAGGCTTACCACTTCTTATTTACCGAGAAAACTCGCAAGGACTGCTAATCCATGCCTCCGTACTTAAAGCTACGGTTTTCTCAACTTTTAAAGGATAACAGCTATCCGTTGACCTTAGGAGTCAAAAACATTGGTGCAACTCCAAATAAAAGTAATAATCATGCACACCCCCATCATAATAACAACCCTCATCTCCCTGACTCTTCCAATTTTTGCCACCCTCACCAACCCCTATAAAAAACGTTCATACCCAGACTACGTAAAAACAACCGTAATATATGCTTTTATTACCAGCCTCCCCTCAACAACTTTATTCATCCTCTCAAACCAAGAAACGACCATTTGGAGTTGACATTGAATAACAACCCAAACATTAGACCTAACACTAAGCTTTAAACTAGATTACTTCTCTATAATATTTATTCCAATCGCACTATTCGTCACCTGATCTATTATAGAATTCTCGCTATGATACATAAACTCAGACCCAAATATCAATCAATTCTTCAAATACCTCCTTATTTTCCTTACAGCCATACTAACTCTAGTCACTGCCAACAACCTTTTCCAATTCTTTATTGGCTGGGAGGGTGTAGGAATTATATCTTTTCTCCTAATTAGCTGATGACACGCTCGGACAGACGCCAACACAGCAGCCATCCAAGCAATCTTATATAATCGCATTGGCGACATTGGTCTTATCCTGGCCATAACATGATTCCTCCTACATTACAACTCATGAGACCTCCAACAAATACTAGCCCTAAACTCCAACTCAAGCTCCCTTCCATTGGTAGGCCTCCTCCTAGCAGCAGCAGGAAAATCAGCTCAATTCAGTCTCCACCCTTGACTACCCTCTGCCATAGAAGGCCCAACTCCAGTCTCAGCCCTACTCCACTCCAGTACAATAGTCATTGCTGGGGTGTTCTTACTCATCCGCTTCCATCCTCTAATAGAAACCAACACAATAATTCAAAATCTTACATTATGCCTAGGAGCTACTACTACCCTATTTACAGCCATCTGCGCCCTCACACAAAACGACATTAAAAAAATTGTAGCCTTCTCCACCTCAAGCCAACTAGGTCTAATAATAGTCACCATTGGCATCAACCAACCATACCTAGCATTCCTACACATCTGCACCCATGCTTTCTTCAAAGCCATGCTTTTTATATGCTCCGGATCCATTATCCACAACCTAAACAACGAACAAGACATTCGAAAAATAGGAGGCCTATTCAAAACAATACCTCTCACCTCAACTTCCATAATCATTGGCAACCTAGCACTTACAGGAATGCCCTTCCTCACAGGCTTCTACTCCAAAGACCTCATCATCGAAGCCACAAACACGTCGTATACCAACGCCTGAGCCCTATTTATTACTCTCATCGCTACCTCCCTAACAAGCGCCTACAGTACTCGAACCATCCTCCTCACCCTAACAGGACCACCCCGTTTTCCAGCCCTAACAAATATTAACGAAAATAACCCTGCCCTATTAAACCCAATTAAACGCCTCACAATAGGCAGCATGATTACAGGATTTCTTATCACCAGCAACATCCCTCCAACCTCACCCCCCCTACCAATAATACCCTTCTACCTAAAACTCTCAGCCCTGTGCGCAACTGCCCTAGGCTTCCTAACAGCCCTAGACCTCACCCTCATAACAAACAAACTAAAAATAAAAAACCCATCACAAGTATTCAAATTCTCCAACATACTAGGATATTTTCCCACCACAATTCACCGCACAATCCCCTATCAAAACCTACTCATAAGCCAAAACTTAGCCCTCCTCCTATTAGATTCAACATGACTAGAAAAATCTATACCTAAAACAATCTCACAAGCACACATCACCACTTCCATAACTGTAACCACCCAAAAAGGCATAATCAAACTCTATTCCCTTTCTTTCCTTATCCCCCTTACCCTAGCCCTATTCCTAATAATATAACCTATTGCCCCGAACAATCTCAATTACAATGTACACACCAACAAATAGTGTTCAACCAGCAACTACCACCAATCAACGCCCATAATCATACAAGGCACCCGCACCAATAGAATCACCCCGAATCAACCCTGACCCCTCCCCCTCAAAAATCACCCAATCACCAGTATCACTAAAACTAACCACCACCACTACCGCCTCATCCAAACTTAAAACCCATAAAACTAACACCACCTCCATTATCAACCCTACTAAAAGACCTCCCAAGACCTCAAGCCCCGAACCCCATGTCTCAGGATACTCTTCAATAGCCATTGCTGTAGTATAACCAAAAACAACCATCATACCTCCCAGATAAACCAAAAACATCATTAAACCCATATAAACCCCCCCACAATTTAAAACGATCACACAACCAACCACACCACTAACAATTAACGCTAAACCCCCATAAATAGGAGAAGGCTTAGAAGAGAACCCCACAAACCCCATAACCAATAAAACACTCAATGTAAACAAAATGTACGCCATTGCTTCCACATGGACTCCAACCATAACTAATGGCATGAAAAACCATCGTTGTACTTCAACTATAAAAGCACCAATGACTCCAATACGCAAATCCAACCCAATCATAAAAACAATCAATCACTCCCTCATTGATTTACCCACCCCGCCTAACCTTTCCATATGATGAAACTTTGGCTCACTTCTCACAGCCTGTCTAACCTTACAAATCATCACAGGCCTACTATTAGCAATACACTACTCACCGGACACCTCCTCCGCCTTCTCCTCAATTGCACATATCACCCGAGACGTAAACTACGGCTGGATTACTCGCTATCTCCACGCCAATGGAGCCTCTATGCTCTTCATCTGCCTTTTCCTACACATCGGTCGAGGCCTCTACTATGGCTCATATCTCCTTCTAGAAACCTGAAACATCGGCATTATACTCCTTCTTATAACCATAACAACAGCTTTCATGGGCTACGTTCTCCCATGAGGCCAAATATCATTCTGGGGAGCAACGGTAATCACAAACCTACTATCAGCAATCCCGTACATCGGAACTAACCTTGTCCAATGAATCTGAGGAGGATATGCCATTGATAGCCCTACTCTCACACGATTCTTCACCTTGCACTTTATCCTACCCTTCATCATCATCGCCCTCACAGCCGTACACTTACTATTCCTACACGAAACAGGATCAAACAACCCTTGCGGAATTTCCTCCGACTCGGACAAAATCGCCTTCCACCCCTACTACACAATCAAAGACATCCTAGGTCTAATTCTCCTCCTCTTTATCCTAGCAACACTAACACTACTCTCACCCAACCTCCTAAACGACCCAGACAACTACACTCCAGCCGACCCACTAAACACTCCCCCACATATCAAACCAGAATGATACTTCCTATTTGCATACACAATCCTACGATCTATCCCCAACAAACTGGGAGGCGTACTAGCACTATTCCTATCAATCCTCATCTTAGCAGCCATCCCCATACTTCACAAATCCAAACAACAAAGTATAATATTCCGCCCACTCAGCCAATTCCTATTCTGACTCCTAATCACAATCCTACTGACCCTTACCTGAATTGGAAGCCAACCGGTAACCCAACCCCTCATCACTATCGGCCAAGTAGCATCCATAATATACTTCATTACAATTCTAATCCTAATACCACTGGCTTCCCTAATTGAAAACAACCTACTCAAATGAACTTGCCCTCGTAGTATAAACTAATACACTGGCCTTGTAAACCAGAAATGAACACCCTTCCTAGGGCAATCAAAAAGAAAGCATCTAGCTCCACCACCAACACCCAAAGCTGGTATTCTAACTTAAACTACTTTCTGCATTCTTATGTTGTATAAACTTCATAAGATAACCCTAATATCAACCTACTCACAATATTACTATGTAATTCGTGCATTACTGCTAGCCAGCATGTATAATATATAGTACTATATATGCTTGACTGTACATAACACATATTATTACATATCAACACAATATCTCCAGACAACATGCTTATAAGCAAGTACTCTAATGTAAACTTCAACAGTAACACATAACATGGCCCCTCCAAAGCCCAACTCACCTCCTCATGAATATCAACTAAACCAGCTCATGCCAGTCGTCCATAGTACATTAAATTGTTCATTGGACATAGCACATATCTATTAAATAATCCTCCTCACCACGGATGCCCCCCCTCACTTAGGAATCCCTTGTTCACCATCCTCCGTTTCAACTTACAATTCACCTGGAATCATTTGTGTGTGTGTGTGTGCCATGAGGTAGAGATTAAGTTCATTTTTTCACATGTCTGTATATAGATATAACCTAGTATGATTTGTTGAAAGAATCATCCTTTTCCAATTGCTCTGTAGCACCACTTTGGAAACATGCTATTAAAAAACGTAAGTAAGGGAAGTTAAAGAAGAGTATGTTAGGCAATTTTTAGATTTCACATCTACTAAAGAAGCTGAAAATGCTAGCCATACATTTCTATATGAATAAGATGCAGGTACATGACTTATGCTTTGGTAATCAATTCACTACACAATGATTTGAATAAGGGTTTAGTAGCCGGAAAAAGTGGAGACTACAATAGGATCTATTCTGACAGTGGGTATCACCGGCAGCAACAAATAGGGTTGCAAGGCTACTAATGTCCAAAGAACAGAGGTTGTATTTGGCAAACTGTTTATACTACGGAGCCACACAGGCGTGAAGTTTGCAAAATTCTAGCCAAAGATCATGATTATGGCAAATAGATCTTGGTATTGAATCTTGGTTTCACCATTTATTATCTGCATTACCTTAGACTTTTCTAAGTCTGATTTTTACTCATTTTAAAATCTGAGAATGATAATGTTACATTTTCAGTAGTTTGGAAATAATCAATGATGAAGATCTAAAACATCAAGCTCATTGACATGTTATGCAGGCAAACCCAAAATTGATGCTCAATGAATGGTAGCCTGTTGGTCCAAATGCTAACAATGGGTTCAATTTCCTTGTATTGACAAGAGAATTCTCACCGGATTTTTGCAGAGAAAAATCTGATTCCAGTACAAAGAACTATGTGCTTTATTCTTGGTCATCAAAGTAACCAATGCATAACATTACTTACAAGAAGCATGACAATGATTTAAGAAAACTCAGTCCAAATTTATTTTAACTATTGGGTATAGAAGAACCCGTCCAGATGATTAGTAATATTTTTCTTCATGTATTGGTCAGAATATTGACTGAGGACCCAACTTAGTTCATTTTAATTTAAAAAATGTAAAGCAGGTACTCTTATTGATATAACATGAATACGAGGTCATTATAAAACATTTAAGCAAAGCAGACAGGTTCAAAGTAGAAAGTAGAAAGAAATCCCCAAACTCTACAACTCAAACTAATTGAAATTTTAACATTAGAAGTCATTTTAGAAATCTTACTAAATATATATACAGGCAGAAAAATGAATCTTTGTCTCTCCATTTGTCTCATGAATGTATATGTATGTATTTCATGCATGAGACAGAAATACTTAATAACATTGGAATCACGTTCTTTTAAAGTAAAATCTGTTCAATTGTACATTAAATAAAAAGAGTTAAAATGAAATTTCTGGCATTAATTGATTTCAGATAAAGGATAAAGATATAAAGATTTCTTCACCAGAAGTATTAGTCTCTAACACTATTCTAAGGTTAATAAAAAGATTAGAAAATTCATGAAGTATGAATCTTTTTTAAATTATACAACATAGTTAAATTAATAATATAGACTGATACATTATGAAAGCTAAAGTGATTAACAAAGTGATCATTTTTCCCTTCTCTATTTCTGGAGCCTCCGGATTTTGATTTAGGTTATTTTTACTGTGTTAGAAATTTTCAGAACATTTATACTATTTTTACTATATGTACTGTCATGTTCCAAGCATTCTATTTAATTTCTATATTTTATAGTTAATGCTAATTCTTAATCTTTTTAAGGAAGGTTCTTCAATTTCAAATTGTGTACTTGGATTTTCTCTTGTTCATCAATTTTTCAATTGTTTGTTCAAGAAGACCCAGTGGTTTTAGATGCTTGGGAATGTCTGCCCGTTACTTTTCTCTTTCTCTTTTCTTGAGACGGAGTCTAGCTCTGCAGTGGCCTGATATCGGCTCACTGCAACCTCCACCTCCCTGGTTCAAGTGACTCTCCTGCCTCAGCCTCCCAAGTAGCTGGGATTACAGGCATGTACCACCATGCCAAATTAATTTTTGTATTTTTAGTAGAGATGGGGTTGGCCAGGCTGGTCTCGACTTCCTGACCTCAAGTGATCTGCCTGCCCGTCTTGGCCTTCTGAAGTGCTGGGATTACAGGTGTGAGCCACCGCACCTATATTTGCCCACTGCTTTTCTGTTGGAGTAATTATTGGATCATTATTACAATATAAAGTCATGCTGTTTTCCCCCCGAGAGTTTTGTGGATATTTTCCATTACTTTCTGATTTTGAGTGTTACTGTTCAAAAAGCCAAGGCTGAAGCCAAATGTTTTTTTCTTTCTCGTTTAATGTTGATTTGCTTTTACTGCCTGGATGCTTCAACAATTCTAACTTCATCTTTAAAATTTAGTAACTTAATGAGAATATACCTGGTTTGCTTATTCTGCAACAGCTTTCCTATTAGAAGATATATTTTTAAAATTTTATTTAGTTTTATTCAAACTTTAAAGAAATACTTTTGTATTCGTTTTCCATATACCTTTTCTTTCCTCTTTTTCAATGATTGATAGATGTCATTTATCTGCCATTTACATTCACCAATTTCTTTTCATTTGCTTTAAGCTTTTTGTCCCTATTTCTCTCTGCATTTATACATGTTTTAAGACATTCCCATGCTGTAATTCAATTTTTTAACTTGTTTTTTTTTTCTGTTTCTATTTACGTATTAGATCTATAATAATATAATTTTTTGTTTCTCATTTTTTTCCCATTGGCACTTCAGTTTCCCTAATTTGTTTTATCATCTCGTCTTTGAGTTCTTTTATTGAATTCATTTTCTTTCAAATTATTTTGTAGTGTGAAGTATTTATGGGAAATAAGTTCTTTTCTTTGGGTTATGTCTTTTTTTTTTTTTTGAACTCAACTTTTTATTGGCTTCCTGCTCCCCAAAGGGTACCCTGCTGCTGCTGGCTTAATGCCTCAGAACTTTGGTGTCGTTGGTCTCAGACATCACTTTGCCATCCACTATCTGGCGGGTGGTGGTCTTTTGGATGGTTTGCATGGAGTTGCTGCTGTCCAAGGCATCACCAAGATTGAATTCCTCGCCATCTTCCAGCAGGCGGCGGTAGGTGGCGATCTCAGCTTCCAGCTTGACTTTGATGTTCAGCAGGGCCTCATACTCCTGGGCCTGCCGCTGTCTCTCTGCCCGGGTCTGTGCCATCTCTGACTCCAGGTGCAGCAGGATCCCATTGAGCTGCTCCATCTGTAGGGCGTAGCGGGCCTCCACCTCCCTCAGGCTGTTCTCCAAGCTGGCCTTCAGATTTCTCATGGAGTCCAGGTCGATCTCCAAGGACTGGACTGTACCTCTCAGCTCTGTGAGCGTCGTCTCAGCAGCTCCAACCTCGGCGGACTGTGTGGTGACCACTGTGGTGCTCTCCTCAGTCTGCTGAGACCAGTACTTGTCTAGCTCCTCTCGGTTCTTCCGAGCTAGTTCGTCATATTGGGCCCAGATGTCTGCCATGATCTTGGCGAGGTCCTGAGATTTGGGGGCATCTACCTCCACGATCAACCCAGAGCTGGCAATCTGGGCTTGTAGGCCTTTTACTTCCTCTTCGTGGTTCTTCTTCATGAAGAGCAGCTCCTCCTTGAGAGCCTCGATCTCTGTCTCCAGCTGCACTCGAGTGACATTGGTGTCATCAATGACCTTGTGGAGCCCATGGATGTCCTTCTCCACAGACTGGCGCATGGCCAGCTCTGTCTCATACTTGACTCTAAAGTCATCAGCAGCAAAACAGGCATTGTCAATCTGCAGAACAATGCGGGCATTGTCCACAGTATTTGTGAAGATCTGAGCCCTCAGGTCCTCGATGATCTTGAAGTAATGGCTCCAGTCTCTGACCTGGGGTCCCTTCTTCTCCAGGTGCTCCCGGATTTTGCTCTCCAGCTTCCCGTTCTCCATCTCCAGGCTCTTCACTCTGTCCAGGTAAGAGGCCAGGCATTCGTTCAGGCTTTGCATGGTCTCCTTCTCGTTCTGGATGCCTCCCATTCCTGCCAGACCCCCGGCCATCCCTGAGGCCAGGCCCCCAGACCTCATGCCGCCCCGGAGGCTGGTGGAGCGAGACACGGAGATCCGGGAACCAGAGCCCCTGGCGCTTGCATAGACACTGGCCGCGCTGCTGACCGGCCGGGTGCCGTAGCTGGGCGCCTGGACAGAGCCCAGGGACCGGTAGTTGGTAGAGAAGGTGGAGCGAGTGGTGAAGCTTATGCTGTATAGGAGGAAGGTGAGACGACCGGACTCAGGCTTTGCCGACCTATGTCTTCTTGATGATGGATTTTTCATATGTTATTCACTAGCTAATTTTTTTTCCAACTGTAGTCTGTTGCCATTGTTTCCATGGCATGCATGCATTTCATTTGGTTATCGGTTAACAGAGAGCTTTGTCTGGAAGTTTCTGTTATGACATAGTATGAGTAAATTCTCTTTGCTATAATTCTTTTGTTTTTGTGAGTTGTTTGATTTGTTAATTTAGGTGCTATATTTTGACAGCTTGGTTGTCTGTTCTATCTGCTTTTCTGAAACCTGAGGGTTCAAGGATTAGAGAACTATAACCCTTGTTCTGGACAATTTGGGTTTGGCTTTCTCACTGAAATCCTACAAATGTCTCCTACTAGGGCCTGTTTCCATTGATAGCATCTGTTTTCTCCATCTGAAGATGGTAAGTTCCAGTATCTGTTCTTGTCTTTCTGAGATCCTCCAGGAGTGTGATCCTCCAGATCCTCCAGATCCTCTAGTATTGAACATCTTCCTGTGTCTTTCCACTCAGCTCTCAGTCGCCCTCTCTCTAAGTTGGAGGACATTAGCAGCATTCTTAGAATTTCTTCAACCTACCTTTTTTCTTTAGTAAGGTTTTCGGAGAATGAGGATCTGTTGGGAGTCTTGTTGGATTCCATGGTATTTATTTATCATACATATTGTGAATATTCATAGTGCTCGCTATAACATTTTGATGTATTTGATTATGTGGCACCACCCCAAACATGCCAAATGTAATGCAAAGTTTATACATATATTTTAAAATACGAACAAATCTGAATTTCTAGCTTATGTTCTGTTTCCATTGATTGACATTTGCAGCATGAAGCTACTTCCCTTCTCTTGTTTGCTTGCTGCTGGTAAATTTGAGGCCGTTTACTTTTTCTTTTTTTTTTTTTTAAAAATATTTTAACCCAAAAGACTTGAGCTATGATTTCATATTAAGCTTTATAGTACAAGGCAAAAAACGAATTCAAAATAGGGAATTACATAAAACCAAATGTATTCATTCAATGAAAGTTCATTTTTAACTCTCTTGCCATTATTTACTGGGAACCTAAATCTATTGCATTTTAACTTAAAAATGTAATTGAGCTCTAGATTCCAATTATCTTTATTTTCTCAGCATTATTATCAAATGAGTCTTAAAATGGACATTTCAGTGCTTTTTGAATGAATTATTGTATTTTAAAATTTTCATATATTTTACATAAACATCCTTTTGGAATAATATTATTTCGTGACTTTTGAAAAAAATATTCCTCCTCAGTGAAATCTCTGCAACTCTTATAGTGAACACATATAGTTAGGCTAGTTTTATCTTTTCCCTGATGGGAAAGTACACAATTATCTATAAGATATTTCAACCCGTAACTGTGTTTTATCCTTCTTTGAAGAACGTCCCCCTATCCCTACACACACGTGTGCATGTGCACACCCGAAACAGTTTTAATATTACTATAATAATATAGCAAAATGTTTGACGCTGGGTACTATAAACTTTAATACATGCAATGCAGTTTGAGAATCTTAACATATTTCTAAGTGGGCTCTTAAAAACCGGACTCTCAATACCTAAATCAGGATTACTAAAATGATTGCTGAAATGAAGTCTATTGAGGAAGAAATATAAAATGCAATATAATTATTATATGAGAAGTTTGAAAGAAAGTATTCATTATTTCAATGTTTCTGGACCAAAAAAATATATATCTTAGTAAAAGTAACATAAATACAAAAAACTCTTTATGTTGCTTAACATATAAACATTTTCAAGGAAATTAAACATATCTGGTAGTTTTTAACAAAATTAAAACTAGAAAATTTGATCCATTGCACGTTCTTTTCAGGAGCATGAACTGTTCTCTCATGTTGAATGTGGCAGTTTTCACATACAAGCAGGAGAGAAATTACACCAAGATTTTGGAAAACATGTTATGTAAGGTAAGATACTACTATTTCTAGTTTAGAAAACTAGAAATCATTTTCTATGAAGAAAAAGTAAGACTTCCAGTATTTAAAAAGTTGACTAAATTTGGCCATGCATGGTGGTGCACGCCTGTAATCCCAGCACTTTGGGAGGCTGAGGCAGGTGGATCACTTGAGGCCAGGAGTTCGAGACCAGCCTGGGCAACATGGTAAACCCTGTCTTACTAAAAATACAAAAAATTAGCCAGATATGGTAGTGTGTGCCTGTAGTTCCAGCTACTTGGAAGGGATAAGAACCGCTTGAACCCTGGGGGGTGGAGGTTGTAGTGAGCCAAGATCATGTCACTGCACTCTTGCCTGGGTGACAGGGTGAGACTTTGTCTCAAAAAAAAAAAAAAAAAAAAAAAGACTGCCTTTAATAACTATGGCAATTACTGAAATTTATTAAAATATTTACTATCATCAAAAGTACTACTATTATTAATCATATATATTCTTTTGTTAAATTAAATACAGCCATTGTGATAATATCCCAGACAGTAGCAAAATGCTAACTATTCCTTACTTGCTTACATATTCACCTAAATAAGAGCAAATTTACTAGTCTTCTGTTTTACCTATGGGAAAAAACCCATTATTTCCTTAAATGCAGTAAATCATCAATTAAATCAATAAAAGAACTGATAGTCTGTAATCTTAGATCCCAGAATTTTTTCCCTCGATACTCTTAGTTCTACTGGGAACTATCATACAATAATATTTGAATATTATTCAATTATATTACTTATAAAATTATCAGCTTCAAGGTGTAGATTTTTATTGATCTGATTTTATTAGCTTAGGTAATAGTCTTCCTTCTTGTTTTTAATCTTTCTTAAGCCAAAGCTATTCAGCTTCCTACTTTTCAAGAGGACATCTGCCCTTTCTTTACTTTCTGCCCCCTTGTGCTAGTATCTGCTCATTGTGAGAGAAACACACAATCATGCTGTGTTTAAAGTCATGCTTATGGCCGGGCACAGTGACTCATGCCTGTAATCCCAACATTTTGGGAAGCCAAGGCAAGAGGATCCCTTGAGCCCAGGAATTTGAGACCAGCCTGGGCAACATAGTGAGATCCCATCTCTACAAAAAATGTTACAAAAAGAAAAAAAAAAGGAAAAGAAAAATAAATAAAGTCATGTGTCACCATGCCTGGCTAATTTTTGTATTTTTTAGTAGAGACGGGGTTTCGCTATGTTACCCAGGCTGGTCTCGAACTCCTGACCTCAAGTGATTTGCCTGACATGACCTCCCAAAGTGCTGGGATTACAGGCATGAGCCCCATCTCTACTAAAAATACAAAGTTAGCCAGGCATGGTGGCACGTGCCTGTAATCCCAACTACTTGGGAGGCTGAGGCAGGAGAATTCCTTGAAACCAGGAGGTGGAGGTTGCAGTGAGCCAAGATCGTGCCACTGCATTCCAGCCTGGGGGACAGAGCGAGACTGTGTCTGAAAAAACAAAACAAAACAAATAAAAAGCCCCAAAACCTATTCATTGTTTATTTGAAATTCAAATTTAACTGAGTTTCCTGTATTTTCACTGGCAACCCTACCCCTTCTACCACTTTGGATTATAAGGTCTCTGCATACAGGGTTATGCATGCTACACTGTATCTTTACAGTAAAAAGAGCAGTGATAGGTTCTTAATATGTACTTACAGACTGATGGAAAAGTCTTTGGGATGAAAAGCATCCCATACAATCAGATATTTCTTTTTTTGTGTGTGTGTTGTTTTTAGTAGAAATGGGGTTTCACCATGTTAGCCAGGCTGGTCTCAAACTCTTGACCTCAGGTGATCTGCCTGCCTTGGCCTCCCAAAGTGCTGGGATTATAGGCACGAGCCATCGCATCTGGCCTACAATCAGATATTTTTATATAATTTCCCTTAGGACCCTCCAAGCCTAGATTATTTATTAATAATTTATGAGCCTATTTATCATGAGCACTGCCTGGAAGTTTATAAGGAAAGCTGTACTATAAGGGAACACTTACCTTGGCAATTCTATAGAATGACAGCCCAGGAAGACAGTCGCATACAAACCTCTGTGTCTCTGCCTTTGTTCCAGAAGATGAAGCGATAATGGCCCTTCAGAGACAGAGATACTTTTTGCATTACTCTGTGGTTTTCTGCTTTCATCTGGGCAAATAATGTAAACTTAATACAACTTTCTTTGTCTTTTCTCCCAGGTTATTGTGACCTCTATGATGGGGATCTGATAAAGAAGAAAAACACCTCACAGCGATGACTGGCATGTGATCACTTAGCCAATGAGATAAGAGGCTGTAGAAATGATGTGATAATGACGTCTCCTGAGTTCCAGGTCCATATTAGCAGTGGATATGAGGTAAACATTGAGTTTTTCTCAAATTTAATTAACAAGCTTTATTATAGATACAACTCAAATTAGTTAATTCAGGAAGCTTATTTTGTAGAAATTAAAACATTAATAAACAGAAAATTTAGAAATAAAGAACTCGGCTGACACTTTGACTCTTTGAAACAAGTGGCTTTGCATGCTCTGAAAGATTATAGCCACCCTTTGAGACATTGGAATGGTCCATTGCATTTTATCAAGTAACTATAGGTCAGCCTGGGAAATCTGCAGTTTCCTCCACTCCTGTCACTGTGGTTGCTGTGAGATTTTGTGTCATCACTGTGCTGTCTTCCCTCTCCACATGAAGGTGAGCTCTCTGACTTCACCCTAATGTCTGTGATTTCATGCCTGACCTGATTGTTGCTGAGCAATTCCCTTGTTTGGAGAATTCTGTGCTTTGGTTAGAATTTTTAAAGGTTTTTTTCCTGTGGTTAGATTTCTGTTTCCTCCTGTGTCTTATGCACCTTGTTCTCCTACAGAGAAGATTCTTTGAAGTTAGTGGAAGCTCAGTTTAAAGGAAGATCTACTGCTTTGTGTGGTGGATGACCATGGGGGAGTGAGAAGGCAGCCTCTGGCTTTTGTTTTGTGTGTGTGTGTGTGTGTTTGTGTGTGTGTGTGTGATGTACCTGGAAAAATAACACGATTAGCATTAAAGAGTATGTTTGGCATGTTTACAATAAATTGTAAACCAAACGTATTTTGAAGAATTTATACAAATTTCTAATTTAGTAAAATGAATGACTATTGAGTATTTATGTCAATAAAGCAAACACTTGAATACAACAAAGCATGCATTGCACGTTTCTCCCACTGTTTATCTCCATCTGTAACCTCCCTACTCATCAATATGAGATTTTTTATATGGAACAAGTGTGGTTCTTGCAGGGAAACAATCTTCAGAATAAGGATAAAATATTTAAGAATATGTACTTAAAACCTAGCAAGCTCATTGGAAAATGATCCAGAAAAATGGTATTCAGAGATAAAAATCAGAATGTGTTTAGGAGAAGAGCACTGATGAAGGTTGGTGTATGTGGCATGTAAATAATACATTGATTTAGATGGACTTTTACGATGGGGGAAGCTCATCAGGCCTCATGTAATGAGTTAGTGTTTACCTTTTTCTTTGAAAATTCCATTTTCATTACAATGGGTTTCAGGCATTTGTACTTTGTTATCTCTTCAAATTCATACAATTAAAATGGAACTCATGACTTCTTTTCCTTGGAGGTACTAAAAATTCTGCGCAGTTAAAGGAACTGTGACCTTTCTTAAATGGGCCCATCTTCTAGCTCAAAAAAATAATTCTTAGATGGTGCTTTAACACCTAGTTTTAGTGCAAGACAGATTGTCAGGGTAATAAATTAAAGGCACCTCACTGCAGCTCTGTTGGCCAATGTTCTACCACAGACCCATATTAATATTTTATACCCTTTAATATTATTACATGATGCAGGCTTTATTTAAATGGATTTGACGGGTCTCTTGGTTGACTTGACAACCAGAGGGAAAAATTAATGTTCTGCATTTAATCTCAGCTCAAGGTGCTAAATTATTTTGGAGGTCAAAACCGTCATGCGTATCATGCTAAATTATTGAATGTAATAACTATTGGCTAGCTGTCTATTTATGTGTTTTAAAAATTGTTTACTTCAAGTATCTTGAGCTAATTTTAAAGTAAATCCTTCTTTTAGTTTTTTCCCTCCTATGTGCCGTTATCATCCTAGCCCTTGCAATTGTGGTAATAGAACTAATGGAAGATGCCAGTTGCCCTTCTTATAAGTGAAATCAACTGACTAAATGTTAGTAAGTCGCTGAGAGCATTCCTGCTTTCGTTGGTTCCATCTTCATATGAAGTTCAAGTATGTTGAGAGAAATAGTCACTTTGTTGTAATGGAAGCTATTATCTTATTTTAAAAAGTCACATAATGTTTTGCCAAAAAGAAATATTGATTCCTAAAAGAATACAGTAAGCCATATTCTAATTATTTTAAGAATAATTGGAACAACATTAAAAAAAGAAATGATGCTGTTGGATTTCTTTTTAAGAAATGATTTAATGGGAGGTATGACAAATGAAATATAAAATGATGTATTTATTATTTACAGTGAAAATAGGTCACATATCCTTGTCCTTTGATGATCTTAAGAGGTGAATCAATGTCAACAGTATTATGAAATATTTAGGCTATATAAGGATACAATTCTGAATTCTTGGACATTTGTGTAATGACTTGTAAGAAATTGTGACTTGTGAGTTGGCTCTTTGCCTTTACATATAAGAAAGGTGGTAAGGGGAAGTTTGAAAACACCTGTTGTCCTTTACAGTTTCTGCCTCCTCTGGGTTTTATCTTAACTAGAGCAAGCACTTCCTATGTATGAGGCTTTCTGGGGTTAAGCAGTTTTAACTGCATTACTTAAAGTAACATCAGTCATGGCCAATGGGCTATGAGAAAAAAAGAGCTTCAAATAAGAAGCTGATTTTTCTTCCTGATAATGAATGGTGATGGGCCAAAAAAAACCTCCAGCACTTTCCATGGCAGGGTAACAGCTTCTCTGCATAAGCAGAGTGAGCAATTGGCAAGACTGGCTATTGGTGTACAAGTTGGACCTTATCGAAAGGGCTGAAGCAGCACTCTTTATGCCATCTTTCCTTCTGTCTTTCCCATCTTGCTTGTAAATTACTCTATTCATCTAAATGAGAGCTTTTGGATAGCTGTTAGTTTGGAAATGGTGGGTCTGTTTAGTGACTCAAGATAGCTTCTTGGTGGCATCTAGTCAAGCAGAGATAGATGCAGGTGGCATCTAACAAGCAAGGAGTAGGTGGTTGAGGACTGCTCAGCCTCTGTCCTCATCAGGCACTGAGGTAAATCAAATGACTAATAACCAGGTAATAGGCAGGCTGAGGATGCCGAGGGGAGGAAAACAGTTTAAGTTCCCACCATGTGCCTGACTTCCTGACAATAAACATCTAGGACCCATGCTGTGATAATGTCATTGGGAGGAGATATGTTTCCTTTTCTTTCTCCTCATCCAGTGACTCAATTAATGCAAGAACAAAGCAAAACAAAATGAAAACAATTTCAACTAGTACTTGCTACACTGGGGAAATGGAATAGAGGATTGAATAAGACTTTATTCCCTCCCTTGATGAGTGCATAGGCCACTGCCTTGCTTAGTTTGTTGACCTGGTACATGTGGCTCTCTCAGAGGAATCCTTGGAAAAAGCATCAAAGACAACCAAACCAGGGAAACAAGGGAAGGCTGTGTGGAGCAGAACAATGAGCCACTACAGAGATGGGACTTTATAATATAGGATAGGAAAGATAGAGGAGATACGAGGATGTGTATCTCATCTCAGGACAGAGAGAGGCGACATTCAAGGTGTGGGAGATTTTGAGATGAGGATTAAAGAAGATGTCAGTGCTTGGTGAATTGGAAGTAGATAAGCCTTTTGCTTGTTTGTTTATCTTTTTGGGTTTATAAGTTTCTGAGACCTTAGTATTTTCTTTTTTTTTTTGTTTGTTTGTTTTTTGAGACGGAGTCTCGCTCTGTCGCCCAGGCCTGAGTGCAGTGGCGCGATCTCGGCTCACTGCAAGCTCCGCCTCCTGGGTTTACGCCATTCTCCTGCCTCAGCCTCCTGAGTAGCTGGGACTACAGGCGCCCGCCACCGCGCCCGGCTAATTTTTTGCATTTTCAGTAGAGACGGGGTTTCACCGTGGTCTCGATCTCCTGACCTTGTGATCCGCCCGCCTCGGCCTCCCAAAGTGCTGGGATTACAGGCGTGAGCCACCGTGCCCGGCGACCTTAGTATTTTTATAGATGACATTTTTGAGCTGGATATTTTGACTTCTTTAAGATCTGTGTTTGTATCTATCTATATAGTTACATAGATACATGTATAAAGATTCTCCTTGCTCTCCATCTCTCTTATTTGAAGCTGGACACACTTTATGCTTAGACAGACTTTTAGAATCATAAGAGCTGGGGTGGGACAAAAGAAACAAAGAAACAAAGAAGCATTTCTGTATCAAAAGAAACAAAGCAGCATTTTGATACAGGGCCCCACTCTGTCACCCAGGCTGAAGTGCAGTGGTGCAATCATAGCTCATTGCAGCCTCCAACTTCCGGGCTCAAGTTATCCTCTTGCCACAGCCTCCCAAGTAGCCAGGACGACAGTTGCGTGCCACCATGCCTGGCTAAGTTTTAAATATTTTTGTAGAGACAGGGTCTTGCTATTTACTCAAGCTAGTCTTGAAGTCCTGGTCTCAAGCAATCCTCCTGCCTCAGTCTTCCAAGAGAGCTTCCTTTAAATGTTTCGTGCTACTACCCCTTAACATTGGTACTCTCCAGAGGAAGAATAATATTAAATTTTAGTGTAAAATAAATAAGTGGAGGAAAACAATTTTAATTCTGTGACTAATGGCATTTCTAAGAAATCACTTTGTAGATTTTTCAAAAGTTCTTCCTTTAAAAATGTGCTTTAAAGAGCAACACCCTCTCCCTCTGCAATTAGGAAACATGTCACAACAATTTTTGTGCCAAAGCTTTATAAAAATAAAAAAGCTTTTTAAAAATAAAGAAATTACTTTGAAAAACTGGTATTATTAAATGATGCTGCCTATAATCCTGCTATCACCCTGAGATGTTTGGACTTCAGTAGATAAAAAAAGTAGAGATGCTAAGCATTTTCTGTTATTTCTAGAAAAGCTCATTAGTAAATTATGGAGTGACAATCTCTGGCTAGAAAAATAGAACAACCTCTGTTGCAAAGGATTCTAAATTCTTTTAGTAGTTGCAACGTCATAATTGGCATATTAAATAATTGGGGTCCATGAACAGACTTTAGAGTTCTAGCAGGTATCTATGAAGAGAAGTAAAAGATTGAATCTCAAATAGGATAAAAGCTGTCACAATTAGATTAGCCAGGTTTGATAACAGCTGAGTATGAGTGGGAGAAATATCATTTG